ACACCAACATTTAAACTCTACTGCTATGTAACCAATACCTTACTTCTACAACTATATCGCCTATACCATGACTCTAATAGTATGCCACAAATTACAAATACCTTACCTCTACTACTGTGCGATCAATATCTAAATTTTACTGCTAGACCACAAAATGCCAAAACAGTTTTACTTTAGTTTTAGTAGAGGGTTTTACAGCGCTCACAACTGCATAAGGTCATATGAGCGCTAGAAGATTAGAGGTGTTACAAGAGAGCAACAAACAAAAAAGAAGAAAGGGAGATAAGGTCGATAGATGTTTGATAGGAAAGAAGAAGCAAACCACACCAGAGCACCCGCCAACCACCCACAAATGCCGAAACTGTACTGCTACGCCACAAACACCTTCACAATATACAAGGTAAATTTGATGACAGCATTTTTGTGAGAAGCTCAGAGTAAGATCTTTTGATCACTCCCCTCGAAATACGAGAAGTCATCATCATACTTTTAAGATCAATCTCCTTGAGGGAGACACATCACAGCTTCATGTACTTAGAAAATTATATCCGTCATTAATTCTACAAGTTAATTTTTTAAAGTTACTTTTGTATCACAAGGCGGAACTTATCTAAGACAACCACCTACAGCCGAGGAGAAAAGTAGTAATCTTACACAGGCGGCCCCTTTCGACAATCTTATCATAACAGGATACAAAAATGCAAGACAGAGGAAGTGAGAAGTGGTCTTTGTATAGGAAATTGTCTAGGACAGGCGGTCGCTAGACCAGGTTTCCATTACAATTTTCAGCAAGTCGTCTCATCTTCTCTCCTGGCTGCAGAACATTATACACAAAATTACACCACCGCGAAACAAACTGATAGAAAATTCCAGGGCTGTAACCTCTCACACTGACCCCAGACCCTTTCCCCGGGACTCACCCGTCAGAGGCAGCTGAGGCTCCGTGGTGTAGAGCTGGGCCGGCTTCTGGTGAGGGTTCATGCCGTAGCGGAGGGTCAGCTGGGACTGACCGGAGCTGTACTCGCGACGGAAGTAGTTGGAGATGGCCGCATCATAGTCTGCCGTGTGGTTGAAAGCCTGGAGCAAGCATAAAAATAAAGGCACATACTGTCAAAATTGTTCAAGATAGCCACTTATTGAATAATGATTGATACAGCATTATTGAAAAAACATGCTGTCTGTATTAATTTATTGGAAGCTTACAGAATGAAGAAGTGAGAATGGTTAAATTGTATGAAAATGGAGTTTAGTTTTAGGAGCAGAAATAAGGACTATACACTGGCAGCACGGTATACAGATGTGTCTCAAAGGCCACTAAAAAATTACTTTCGTCTGTAAGCAAAACTGCCGGCGTATAGAATAGACGCCTTTACCTTTAGTAAGAGTTTTCTAGCACTTGCAACACAATCAGCTCATATAAGTGCCTGAAGATTTTTTTTAATGGTGAAATGGTATGGGTTTAATGCCCGTGTCAACACTATTAGGTTATTTAACAGGCGGGACCTCCTAGTTTAACATCCGTCTCCGATAGGACCGAGCCAAGTGGGAAGTTCGTGTAAAGTGCCTTTCCCAAGGACACAACGTCGGACCGAACTGAGGCTCGAACCCCCGAACCCGCAATCTCACGATTATGAGTCCGGTAGTCTAACCACTAGGCCTGAAGATTAAAGGTATTACAAGAGAGCAACAAACTCAAAAAAGAAGAAGAGATAAGGACAAGAGATTCCGTTGACAGTAAAGAAGCAGCAACCACACCAGAGCCCCAGCTAACCACCCCCTGAGAACAGTTTAACTTCACAGAGAATATAGATCAGGACAAAATCTAGGTTAAAATGAGATAAGAGGTACAGGGTAAAAGTCAAGCAGACACAAAAACTACTGAGGGAAAGAAGAGAAAAAATCAGACAAGAGCATCCACCAACAGCCTCCGACATCATACCTTGACCGCCAAGCTCTTCCTTGTGTCCAGGGTAGTGTCCTGGGAGGACGATGTCTTGATCTCATCAATAATCCTGTGATGGACAACAGATATATTAGTTTAGTTTTAGAAAAGGTTTTCCTGAAAAACAATTAAAAGCACAAAAAAATGTAAATTTATTATTTCTAAGCACTCACAAGCTTTGGAAGTCCCTAAACTTTGGCCGCCATTTTCTCGCTAATTTTACCACTGAAACCATACGACCCCACCACCATCAATCACAAATATCTCAACTTTTATTCAAGATGTGTGGATATTTTTTTCATTGAAAGCAACACATATGTACAAGCTTTGAGATGATACCAAGAACTCCACAAGCCCAAACACTTTTTAGTAGAGTTTTTATGGCGCTCGCAACTGCATAAGGTCATATGAGCGCAAAGGAGTGGATGTCAACAGAGAAGTCTTTACTGGGAATCAGACTTACTTTGCTCCCCTCTAGAGCTTCAACAGCACAAAGTCTGATTCGACTATCAAGGCACCCCCGAAATAGAGGGTCACAAGAGAGTGATAAACATGCAAAAGTAGTAGAGGAAAAATGACGATAGTAAAGATTAGGAAAGAAAAAGCAGCAGTTCCCTGTTGCAGTTCAGGCACAGTTATGAGCATGACATTGATGAATCAGTCCATTTACAATTCTGCAGTGCATAAGAACATGTTAATGTCCCCCCTTCAGGAATGGCCTAAAGACACTTCAGTCAGTAGCACCCCCCTGGAGGTGCCACCCAAACACTGACGAGCGCCTGATTCCACCATGGTGTGACAGTCTTGTAAAATTGTCCGTGCTGGTCTGACATTGTCTGTTATATGAGGATGAATAATATAATGTGTGCATTAACATTTTAAAAAAAATATGAATAGCCAGAATGTTTACTGTAAAGTCCAAATTCTCCTGTGGGGTACAGCACTGACCTGTCATAGTCTGCAGGGTCACACACCACCGTAACTCGGGCATGGTTCTTCGCCGCAGCTCTCAGTAGAGTAACTCCCCCTGGAAGACAGGGACATTTGCTTTATTAGTATGAGTTTAACAGCACTTAAAACAATAAGGACAAACAGTGCCAAAGAACAGAGGTGTTGTAAGAGAAAAAAAAATTAAAAAATGGAGAGATAAGGACAATAGATGTTTGATAAAAGTAACCTGAAAACTAACTGAATAGGTTAATAGACATCTAGTCTCTATCCAATATTCCCCTTTTGAACTCTGGCGCATGTTGTTGTTGCTGTTTTCAATTCCCTTTAGCAGCGAGCATTTCGCTCTTGGCAGCGCAATGCCTCTCACTCTGGCGCAGAGAAGACCCGAGTTTGATTTTCTTTGTGGGGCGAATTTTTATCAAGTGTCTGTCTTTTTGCTGGGACATTCTATCCCTCTCAGTCCGGTTGGCCCTGACTGGCAGGATAAGTTGTCTCCTAAACAATGACAATCTAATTTGTGTCAATAGAGGCATAAAAAAATCTACACTAAGAAATCAAAAATTCCTTTTTCATCTTGGTCTCTTCCCAGCAAGACACAATGAGGAAATAGTTTTCCAGTGGTCAGATCGGCCTACGCCTCTGAGACCAAAAATTGGGAGTTTAACTCATAATCCTCCCTAAAAAACCAGAGTTTCAGAACAAAGTTCAGAGACCTCAGAATCCCCAGTAGAATGAAAATTGCCAAATGTTAGTGGCAAACAAACATGCATTATAAATATATGCGAATATAAAATGAGTATTTTCCTGTGAGGATAAATTGTGCAAAAATATTGCAAACAAACCCAGTTTAAAAAGTGTATTTTCACATAATTTACAACTGAATCGATAACAACAACATAATTTACAATGAGTCACATACAACCGATGGAAACAGGCATTCAGGAAAAAATCAAATTTTATGTAAATCCAAACAGGGTTCTTAGAGAAGTTAAGAAGAAAAGACTGTAAAGTTCCCGATTTCTTGGAGCACTTGGTCGACGAGTGCGGTCCTACCTATGTCAATGTTCTCCACGGCGTCCTCGACCTTCACACTGGGGTCAGCCACGGTCTTCACAAACGGGTACAGGTTACACACCACAAGTCTGTGGACACAACAGAGGTTTTTTAAAGTTTTAGTAGAGGTTTTACGGCGCTCGCAACAGCATAAGGTCATATGAGCGCCAGAAGATTAGGTGTGTTACAAGAGAGTAACAAACATAAAAAAGAAGAAGGGGAGATAAGGACGATAGATGTTTGATAGGAAAGAAGGAGCTAACCACACCAGAGCACCTGCCAACCACCCATGCAACAATAACAGAGGTTGAGTGCGGGTACAGAGAAGCACATTGACAGAATAAAGGTGTTTGTTTTCTTTGCTTGAGTAAAGACAAGCACATCGACACAATAGCGGTCATTTAGTGCTGGGCTAAAAGTAAGACAGACAGACAGAAACAACAGAGCGAAAGTAAAGAATAGAACCTACCAATGGTGCCCTCCAACCACCCGCAATCACGAACTGAACTAGAAAATGAGCTAACAACCATTACTAAAACATGACACACGCATTAACAATAAATGGGAGGTGTGCCGACAAAATGAGTTACTTCTCGCTGTCCAAGAACGGAGATTTTGGCCGAAAATCGACACTGCAATCAGATTTATAGATTTCTAATTGATGCCATTTTGTTCAAGTCTACCGTGTCTTTTATTATTCCATACTTACAAATTGTACAAACTCCACCTAAGAAGTTCATGCATTAATTTCCATACGGCTAAAATCGGAGAAGTAACTCATTTTGTCAGCACACCTCACAAATGTTCAGAGGACTTACATCACACACAAAACACAAGCTCAGCTAATACACTGAATCATCACACAAAAAACACAAGCTCAGCTAATACACTGAATCATCACACACAAAACACAAGCTCAACAAACACACTGAATCATCACACACAAAACACAAGCTCAACAAACACACTGAATCATCACACACAAAATACAAGCTCAGCTAATACACTGAATCATCACACACAAAACACAAGCTCAGCTAATACACTGAATCACCACACACAAAACACAAGCTCAGCTACCACCTCGAATCAGTCGCCAGGAGTGACGTCATACGAACGAGACAAGTGAATCATCACAGCTCTGTGAGTGTGTGTGTTTCAACTCAAAGAAACTATCAAATTAGCATTCGACCAAACAGCACTCTTGGAAGAGTGGAACAAAAAACAATTTAGGGTGGGGTGTGTGGGTGTGTGCGTGTGAGGGGGGGTGTTTTTGTCCAACTTTAAAACTCACAACAGCTGCAAATTAGGCCCCCCCTACTTTTTTCTTCTTCTAAAACTGGCCAAAGACAGAGTAAGAACAAAAAGTAATCAACAACACATCTACTTAAACCGTTTAAGTTTGGCCATACACATCCTCAATAAAAACAACTTACTTGTCTAAGGTCACACCCCCCTCCCTCCTAAAGTTAACTAACAAAACAACCCTGAGACAGCTCAGACTTGTATCTCGAATCATTCACCACAGATGGTGTAATACGAACGAGACAAATAGCTCATCACTGCTGTAGCATTTTTCTTCAAATTAGACACTGGAATAGAATCAAGATGCATTTGGAACATCAACATCAATACCAAACTTTTTTTTTGGTTTTGTTTTTTGGGGGGGCGGGATTTTATCAAAGCACATGAAGGGCGTGGCGGTACACATGACATACACTCAACTATGTTCCCTCAGTTCACACATCATCTCTGGGTACTCACCTGATCATCTGGTAGTTCTGCTTCTTCAGGTCTGACTGATCCGACTCCTGGAGGCGAGCCAGAATCCCTGAGGGACAGAGAGAAAGACAGAAACTATGCAAAGTGATGTGGGCAGGTGGGTACGTGAGGATTTGGAAGCTGTTTTTTCTCAACACTCCGGAGACAAATTGTCCCATATGCAATAATAAACAATCTCCTTCTTCTTTACAGTTGTTTTTTTTTTTTTTACAGTAAAGGGTTTTACGGCGCCAAGGGGTGGGTGGCAACAGAGAAGTCTTTACAGGGAATCAGACTTAGACTGCTCACCTCACTAGCTTCAACAGCACAAAGTCTGCTTCGACTATCAAGGCACCCCGGAAATAGCAGGTCACAAGGTAGTGGCAAACACAAAAGAAGTAGAGGAAAATGACAATAGTAAGGATCAGGAAAGAAAAAGCAGCAGTTCCCAGTTGTAGATCAGGCACAGTTATGAGCGTGACATGAGTCAACCCATTTACAATTCTAATATGCTTGAACGAGAAATGTCCCCCTTTTGGGAATGGCCTAAAGACTCTACAGTCAGTGGCACTGCCCCGGGGGGTTTCTTCTTCTTCTTTGCGCTCTCCTGCTTGATCTCAGGTGTGGTCAACTGTTGGGGGTGGGGGTGGGGGCAGCCCCAGGGGAAAATGGAAAGGAAAGCAGATAACAGAACAGGACTACAGAAAAGAGGAGGACAAATAATAATAATAATAATAAATAGCATTTGTATAGCATATATCCCCGCTCAACAACAAGCTCTATGCGCTTTACACTATAATATTATTACCCCAGCAGACCATAGAACACTCAGAAACATTTTCAGCTTCCCGGGAAGCATACAGTGACAAAGCAGAAAATGTTAGGGACAAAATTTTCTGTCGTTGGCAGGCAGGTTTCCACCTTGGGATCGAACTTCGCGTCCTGAGACAGCAACAGCAAAAAAGCCTAACCATTAAAGCTAAGCTGACACTGACGCCAGAAAGCACAAAGTTTAAACAAAACCTAGCATGAAAACCGACGTCCAAAAACTACACACACCACACAACACACACACACAAACACACACACACTACACAACACACCTCCGTGGACGGCAGGATGGAGAGTTTTGACACGACCTCCCAGCATCTCCGGAGCCCCCGTCAAATCCTCTACCTCACTGAGGGGAAAAAAAGAGAGAGAAAACGTAGAATGTTTTTTATTTTTGCTCCTGAACAACCAACCGCAACTATGGTCAGAGTAAGAGTGTGGGTTCAAACCTTCTATCAATGCTATTTAATCTATGATTAAATAAAAGAATAAATCATTGATTGTCAAAGAAAGTAAAAATTTTGTGTCATTTTTCAAAATAAGAAATCCCAAGAGGCCCACGTGTCTAAGAAGACCACTTTTCTCCATGACAATGGGCGGTTGTCATGGGCTGGATGACAGAGTATCATTGCTGCACAAATTAAACAGAAACTTTTTTTTCAAATGACATGTAAAGAAGCACAATCTTCTGCCTACGAACAGAACATATACAGCTCAAATTCCACTAGAACAGAATAAATCCAGAACTTCCCCCAATGTGTCCCTTGTGTGACTATGATTATGAGACTGGATCCTCGCCTGTTCCACTGCACAGTTCAAAATGACATCAGAGCTACCCTTCTCCCTCCGAGACCTAACATTGACAACACACTCTATGGAACGTTACAGCAACTGCAGCAAACCTGCACTTATACATAGGACAGAGGGGCCAAAGCAAAGCTGTTGCTGGATCGATAACAACAACAACAACAACAACAACAACAACAACCAGTAAAGAAGAGTCAAAGTTACTATACTGACTGTTCCTGCACAGTAACAATATAATACTATCAGGTTCTCCAATTTTTTCCAAACCCAGTTATAAACACCAAAGATTATAATATAAGACTTCATTACAACAAACAAAATTCCATTATGTGGGACTGGTATAGTCATCATCATTCGGTGCCTTGCCGACTGGACCTCCACTTCACTCTGTCTTGCATTGCAGCAATGGTGTCTGTTGTTCTTGCTGCTCCTAGCCATGTTGTCATCTTGTCCAGTATTTTTTCCCTCTGTCTGCCTCTGCCTCTCTTTCCATCAAACTTGCCTGTTGTTACAATATTCTCTAATGCTTCTTTCCGTATTGTGTGTCCGAAGAAATTTGCCTGTCACTTTCTTATATATTCGTCATAAGCTGTCTTCTATAATTTGCTTCAGCCAAGACTTCTTCATTTGTTTTTCTAGCTCTCCATGGGATATGTAGCATGCGTCTTATGAACCACGACTCTGTCGCCACAATTGTTCTTTCCAGCACGAGCGATAAACTCAAATCCCCAGTTGCAGAATCTGGGCCATGCTCTCACTTTTCCAAGTCCCTCTCGTATGCTGCTTTGGTACACAGGTCTCAATCCCTCAACAACAACAACAACAACAACAACAACGGAGACATACTGACCTCACAGGTACATTAGCATCTCGGATAGCACGAGCTGTACCGCCAGAGGCCACCAGTTTAAACCCCAGGGCGGAGAGACGCTCAGCGAACGGGACGAGGCCGGTCTTGTTAGACACACTCAACAGAGCTGGGGGGGAAAAGAAAAAAAGAAAAACCACATGACGATTTTAGTCTTAGTCAGTTTTACGGCACTAGCTTCCCAAATAGGTCATAATAAAATAAATAAATAAATAAATTACAGTTTTATTTGTCCCAGAAGGGCACTTTGTTTTACAATGGCAAATATACATACATAAATACATAATTATAAATACATACATGCATAAATACATACATGCATAAATAAATACATACATAAATACACACTACTACACAAATACAGAACAGCTCACAAACAATGCCACTGTTGGTCGCCACTGTGCAGCGCCCTGTATTTTTGAGCTAGGGTTGTCGTGTCTTGCTCAAGGACACACCCCAGTGACCACCCATCTGATCCCCGTGTCACCGACACTTGCTTGACATTGCTTGAGTCAAAACTCACTAATCACTTTGCCACTGGAGTGCCTGAGATAAAAGTGGTTACTAGAGAGTAACATACAATACAACATACAGAAGGAGGAGAGACGAGGACGAAATATGTTTGAATCAATTCTTGATGTGATTAGGGGCTCACTTTCTAAACAGTCTCCACAACCTTCGTTCCCC